ATTTTATTATTTTATTTATTTAAATTAAATTTTATTTTATTTTTTTTTATTTATTTTAGTATTTTATTTATTAAAGCTTATTTTTTATTTTATTTAAAAGTATTTTATTTTAGTAATTATTTAAAAACTTTTATTTTATTTTATTTATTTTATTTATTTTTTTATTTATTTTTTTATTTTATTTTTTTTATTTTACTATTTTATTTTTTTATTTTATTTTTTTTTTTTATTTTATTTTTTATTTATTTTATTTTATTTTTTTATATTTATTTTATTTATTTTACTATACATTTTTTATTTATTTTAGTATTTTATTTATTCTATTTTATTCCTTCTGGTATGATTGTCCCACAAAAAATATTTGGCAGACACATGTGATTCCGGTTAAAAGAAATGACACAAAACATGGAATTCAAACAACAATTAATATATATTTTTTTTAGTCATTTCACCAACAAACAAGGCAATAATGCCACTAAGATGCAAGGGGTCACTGAGTGTGAGAGCAAAAGGAAATTAGAAGACATTTGAGAGAAGAAAGTATAAAGAACAGAACAATAAAGAACAGAATTCAAGAAGAAGATGTTGCATTCAAATTTTTGAAAATTGTAGGTGGCAGGGAAGCAAAGGAACAGAAATTAGTTCCACAGGTAAGAAGTGTGAGAAAAGAAACTATTAGAATAGAACTTACAATTTCATCTAGCTAATTCAACAGTAAAACAATGAGACCCAGCTGTCAATCTCATTTGAGGTGCCAAGGACGAAGGTTCATCAGAAAGACTGAACAAAACATGTTACAGAAGGATAAAGTAAGAAATGTTGTTGAAGTTACAAACAGTTCAATACAATCTTCAGTCTGCATCTCTGTAGTACTTACAGGCCTTGTCACTATCGTAGTGAATAGGAAACATATCTGGTTGCTCCGAATGTCAAAGAGCAAAGAGGAAGAGGCTTTCAAACATCTTGCCACCTGTGATTATTATCAGGGAGCAGTAATCCAACACCATATTTGCTGATATATAGAATGATGGCCAAAGAATATGAGTGAAAATAAAAAAAATACAGAGAAGAAATATAAATATGAATTCTCAGAATGTTTAATTACTGATAATATCTAAGGATTTTATGAGAGGAAGGATTGTCAATTATCAAATTTTCGTCTAATATTTCTTTCATTTTAATTTCACTTGCTTTTCATTGCAACTACAGTCTCCATCCATTAGTCATCAAGTTATAATATTATTTGGAATTTTTATTCTAATATGAATCTTCCATAGAGTTATTTTTTGCAACTGTTTAATCTACATCCATTAGTAAATAAATATCTGAAAATGTCTGGAATTTTCATTTGTAGAGAAAATGACAAAGTAACTTTCGTGCATGCAAAAAATGGTGTAACAAAAAGACAGTTATTCCCTTCACACAGATATTACTGTATACGCTTTTAACTCCCTCAACAATGTTTATTTTAAACAGTGAAATAGATAATATATACTTCAAACTTAGGGAATCAATGCATACAAAAATCTCCTAAGCCAGCCAAGCATAGACTTGAATACAATATGCAAACCAGTAATATAGACAGCTTTTTTCTTTTTCTTTAAACATTTGACCCCAAGCAAGGTAGGAGTACCACCAGCACAAAAGAGGTTACAGAAGTGTTTTTGGGGTGAGGATAAAAAGAAGGATGGGAGAATAAGATCAAGGTATCAGAAAATGTCGATTGATATTACATTTGGATATTTGAAGATTATAGTTATCAGGGAAGCAAGTAAGAGGAAGGGAATTCCACAGATGGGAAGAGCAAGAGAAGCTGTTTGAGTAGAAGAGACAGTTACATTTAACTGTTTCGACAGTGAAAGGATGGGACCAAGATGCCAACCTAGTAGCTTGCTTAAATTCATGCAGTCTGGGTACCATAGAAAGCAACTTGTTGAAACAGTTGCCATGAAAATACTTTTAGAAGAGACAGACAAAAGCCATGGCATGTCTATGAGAAAGTGACTGTAGACTAGATGCCAGACCTATCACATTGCATATCCATCTCTGGATTTTGTCAAGGACCTCGAGACTTACAGTGGGGGCACAAGAACATATATGACAGTAATATTTCATGCAAGGATGGATGGTTGATTTATAGATCTGAAGGATGGACTCAGATGAGAAAAACTTTCTGGCACGACACAGAGAACCAACTTTCCTTGTGGTAGATGAAGCTATTGAGTCTATGTATTTGGACCACCTCATATCAGCAGACAGCGTGAGACCAAGCAGGTGCAATGAGGTGCTCTCATGGAGTTGGGCATCAGATATTTTGATGGGAGGCAGGGAGGGTTCTTTGTAGTGGGTAAATGAGAGCAGTTTTGGAGGCATTGAAGTTTACAAGCCATTTCCTACCCCAGTCAACCACAGATTGGAGGTCTTTTTGAGACTGGTGGCCAGGTTAAACAGCAATAACAAAAATTGTAATATAGTCTGGTAAAAAAATTGTTACTGACACATTAGGTTTATAGGTCCCAAAAATTCATTCACTGTTCCCAAGGAAACATGGCCGAGAGGATAAAAGTGTCAGTTAAAGTAATCCAGTGACTTGACCCAAAGAATTGTGAGTTCAATACCTGGTGAGAGTAGAGATGAACAAAAACTTGGAGAATTGAGTTACTAAAGGGAATTAACCGAAATATGCAGATGAGGAATGGCACGTGGAATTAGGACAATCCAACTCTGTGGACTAAATAATAGGTTCAAATCGAAATTCCAACATATCATCTGAAGAAGAGCTGAGTGTACAATGGCCGAAACATCCTGAATATGGTAATAAAGATGAGGACAACAGTCCAAATGATGTAATAGTGTAAATAGAAACAATAAATATATAAAAAACATCAGATCAACACTTTCATATGGATGCTTTGCTTAGCACCAAAATCCTTCAGAAATATTTACACTATATTGTTTGGCTGTTGTCCTCATCTTTGTTGCCATATTTATAATGTTTCGGCATTCTTCAGGTGATTGGAATTTCAAACTGAACCCCTCTTAGTCCACTGGGGTAAATTGTTCTAGTTCCCTGTGCCATGCCTCTTCCAAGAACACATGTCCCAGTGGATAAAAGCATTGATCGAATCTAGTGAGTTGACCCAAAGAACCGTGAGTTCAATACCTGGCCACAGCAGAGATGAACAAAAACTTGGGGAGTTGAGTTATAAAAGGAATTAACTGAAAAATGAGATATCCAGAAAAGGCATGGCATGTGGAACTAAATAAAAGGTTTAGTTCATAGACTAAATAAAAGGTTCAATTCAAAATTCCAACATACGTCACCTGAAGATGGCTGGAACATACAACGGCTGAAATGTTGTGAATATGACAACAAAGATCAGGTAGTCATCTCAGAAATATAGATAGATAATATAGGTATATTCAAATTTTCTTCTTCCATAGTTTGATATTGTTTTTAAATTATGAATAAAAACTTGTTTTAATATTTATTAAATGGGAAATAATAAATATAGCCATTTTGTTGGTTTATATATTTTGTTAATTTTTTTAATAAATTTTTGAATAAGAAGATTTCTTTCCAAATTTATTTCCTTATAAAATATTAAATAATAGATCATTATAAGAAGGTAAATAATAAATATTGAATTGTATTTGGTTCATATATTTTTATAATTTTGTTAAAAATTGCAGAGGAAGTCAGAAGAGTATACAATAATAGTGGTGTCAAAGGAATAACTGTCTTTTTAACAGACCGTTTTTTTTTGCAGGTATAAAGTATTGTTGAAAAAGCATTGTCAGTTATGAAAATTTTTGCTAGTTTTTCTTTTATTGAAATTTAGGTGGCTTTTCATTATTCATACTCAGCCATCCAGTTTACATCTATTATTAGCAAACAATAATAAAGTAAGAATATTATCTTGTATTTTTATTTGAAGAAACATTGTCAGCCATTATTCATTTTTGACTAGGATTTCATTTCATCGTAACTTTAATTGCTATATTTTTTTTAATCAACAAATTGTTAAAAGAACCAATGAGAGAAATGGAATATAGATATTTAGAGTAGACAGAGAGAGAGAGCGAGCCATAGAGTAGACAGAGAGAGAGAGAGATTAAATAGAGTAGAGAGAGAGAAGCTTTTAAGAGTAGACATAGAGAGCGAAAAGTAAAGTTATGAGAGAGAAACCGAATAAATTTGTAAAGAGAGATATAGGAATGAGAGAGAGAGTAAACAAAAAGTAAAGAGATTGTTAAAAGAAAAACAGTGAAGAAAAGAGTAAAGGAAGAGAGTAAAGCCTTTCAGACAAGAGAGAGAGAGCCCAAAGGAAAAAAGAAAGAGCGAAAGATAAGACAAACAGAGAGAGAAATTAATTTTTTTTTTTTTAAAGACAGTTTTCGAAGATGTAAAAGAAGTTAAAAGACAGAGAAAGAAATTTAAATTTAGAAAAACCTGGATTTTTTGGGAAAAGTTGAAGAGAGCACCAGTAGACATGAGAGATTGGGGAGACAGTTATGACAGATGGTTGTTACATTTTCCAGAGAGAGCGAAAAAAAAAAAGAGAAAGAGAGCTCAGAACAAAAGAGAGCGAAAAGTAAAATAGAAAGAGAGCGAAAGAGTAGAAAGAGAGCATTGAGACAGAGAGCGAAAAGTGCGACAGAGAGCACAAAATAAATTTTTTGAGAGAGAGAGAAAGAGTTCAACAGATCTGGAGAAAAAAAGTAAAAAAACTTGTAGAGAGCAGAAAGAGTAAAATGAGAGAGAGAGAAATGATTTTGAAAAGAATGATAAAAAAGAGTAAATGTAAGAGAGAGACCCAAGAGTAAATAGGAGAGAGAGAGCTTTTTTTAAACAGGGAAGAATATTTTTTTTCATGAAAATTTTTTCTAGTGAGAGAGAGATTATCCATTGAGATGATTTTGAGAAGAATGTGAAGATGAGAGAGAGAGAGAAAAGAGTAAAACAACAAAGAGAGCGAAGAGTAAAGTAGAGAGAAATATTAAAGAGTAAACAGTGAGAGAGAGAGAATGGTATGATATCTTTGTTTGTGTAAATAAAATGAGAGAAAGAGAAAGAGTTTCCATTTAAAGAGAGAGAAGATAAACTGAAGAGAACATGATTCGTTAGAGAGAGAGAAAGAGTAAAAAATCAAGAGAGAGAGAGAAAAACTGGCCCAAAACAGAGAGAGAGAGAGAATAAAGAGTAAACAGGAGAGAGAGAGAGAGCTTTCATAGTAAACAGGAAAGAGAGAGAGAGAAAAGAGTAAACAGAAAGAGAGAGAGAGAAAGAGAAAACAGTGAGAGAGAGAGAGAGTTTAAGAGAGAAATATAGATTGAGAGAGATTTTATAGAAAAGAAAACAGTCAGAGAGAGAGAGCAAAGAGTAAAACAAATTTTTTTCTCAAACAGTGAGAGAGAGAGAGAGCGAAAGAGTAAACAGTGAGAGAGAGAGAGAGCAAATTTTAGACAGAGAGAGAGAGAGAGAAAGAAATTTTTTTTTAGATTTTTTTTTTTATGTTCAAACAGTGAGAGAGAGAGAGCGAAAAAGTAAACACAGATGTAGAGAGAGAAAGATTTTAAAAATAGAGAGAGAGAGAGAGAGAGAGAGAAAAAAAAAATAGAGAGAGAATCAGTTTGCCAGAGAGAGAGAGAGAGAGCAGAAATTTTTTTAAGAGAGAGAATTTTAGAAAAATAGTGAGAGAGAGAGAGAAAGAAAAAAAGTTCAAGAGAAGAGAGAAAAAGAACAGTTGAGAGAGAGAGAGAGCGAAAGAGTAAACAGTGAGAGAGAGAGAGAGCGAAAGAGTAAACAGTGAGAGAGAGAGAGAGGAAAGAGAAAATCTCCTAAGAGAGAGAGAGAGTAAACTAGAGAGAGAGAGAGAAAGAGTATAAAGAGAGAGAGAGAGAAAGAGTAAAATTAGAGAGAGAGAGAGAGAGAGAAAAAAGGAGAGAGAGACATCAGAGTAAAAGAAAGAGAGAGAGAGAGTTACAGTCTCAGAGAGAGAGAGAGAGAGCGAAAAAAGTAAACAGATTAGAGAGAGAGAGAGAGTAAAATAACATCTGAGAGAGAGAGAGGAGAAAGAACAGAGAGAGAGAGAGAGCCTGGTCTGAGTGAAAGAGAGAGAGAGAGAGCGAAAAAACAAGAGATAGAGAGAGAGAGAGAGCGAAAATTTGAGAGAGAGAGAGCGAAAGAGAAAACAGTGAGAGAGAGAGAAAAGTAAAATAGAGATTAGAGAGAGAGCGAAAATTTAGATATTTTAGAGAGAGAGAGCGAAAGAGTAAACAGTGAGAGAGAGAGCGAAAGAGTAAACAGTGAGAGAGAGAGCGAAAGAGTAAACAGTGAGAGAGAGAGCGAAAGAGTAAACAGTGAGAGAGAGAGCGAAAGAGTAAACAGTGAGAGAGAGAGAGATAGAGAAGAGCAAGAGATGAGAGAGAGAGAGGAAAAGTAGAAACAGAGAGAAAGGGAAAGATGATAAGTAGTAAAATGGAGAAGGAAGAACTAAGCAGATTATCCTTATCCGTACCAATACAAATCCAATAGAATTAAAGCAATTCAAATAAAAATAAACAAAAAATAAATAAAATAAATAAAACACTGGATAATCGATTGAATAATGTCACATGCAGCTCATCTGAAAAAATAGCCAATTAGACATGCACACACTTGAAGACATAAAGAAAAGGAAAAGTAACAAAGAAAGAAAAAACATTTTCAGCTTCACTATCTTGAAATAATTTTTTGTGTTTGATCCTGTTCAAGGAAAAACTCTTCACTTTAAGGTCAGAAGATCCAGTTTTTCAGATCCAAGCCTGTTGCATTAAGCACCATTACAATCAAGAAGTACCTTCATATATATATAAAATTCTGTGACTTCTTTTAGTCGTCCATCACAACCTCTAATATAGCCATACAATGACTGATCAAAGCCAAATTTTCCGGAGATGTGCAAACAGATAAAGGAAGTAAAAACTATAGTTGGTTTTACTAGAGTGTGTAGCTTTTTTTTTTTAAAAGTTATATTATTTAACATATGAAATACTGCCACTATCTTAAAAACAATTTAATGATTAAAATAACAAATACTTATTTAATAGAGATAAAATATTATTTTTTTGTCTATCTCTTAAGTTTTTATGCATACAAGAATACAATTTCTAGTTCACCCCACGTTTGTGATAACTATAAACAAATCACAAGGTCAAATACTTCAAAAAGTTGAAATTTCACTCCAGAAAGAAATATTTACACATGACCAGTTGGATGTTGCATGCTCAAGAGTAAGAAATCTTAAGAATTTATTCTTTGCTCTTAAAAAGGATAAAAAAAAAAAAGATTTTCTTAAAAAATATTGTTTAACATGAAATCCTATAAAATTAAATTAAAGAAATTATTAAAATCCAAAGTAGGGTTTTTGTCAAAGTATTTTTTCCAAACAAATAAGCTTATTTGAATTTCATTATTGGTTTGCGAAATTAAATGACACGTAGAGTTTGTAAATCTCGACAATAAATGCTAGTGATAACTTCGACTATGCTAAATATTGAGAGGATCTCAACACGTGTCAGTGTGTTGTCAAGACATTCTTGTCATTAACTCTTCTGCTGCTGTTGATATACATATACAATTCAACAAACTTTATATTACCTGCTGTAGGCATGCATCTTGACAAAGCTTATATTTCCTATTACTGACACACACATTATATATATATATATATATATATATATATATATATATATATATTTGTAAAGGAAAAATATATTTGTGGGTATATAAGACAAGTGGATCCTAGTAATATAAAAATATTAAAGTGATCCACAAAAGAGAGGTCAATGTATTTTATAGAGAGCAATATGAATGAATAATCAAAAAAATCTTTTTACCTCATATTGGGAATAGACTATTCCCGCAGATAGTCTGTCTCTTCAACCCCTGATTTGGAATGAAGTTCATGTCCGTAGAGGAAAGTCACAGGTAACTATAAGGAGGTTATATTAGAAACAAAAGGGTCAACCTAAAATTTAACTTGCCGAAGATACCTAATATAGTGTTCACACTTTTCAATGTTTAGGTCAAACGATAGGCACTTTAGAAGGGTTGAGATAGAAATATTTTTTACATTGTAATCTTTTAACAAAATCAATAATTTTTCCCCATGAGAAACAGGTTAACCAAGTCTAAAAAACGGTATGGAATATTTCTTAGAGAGTATTCCAGACAGAATTTTTCCATGGCAGTAGGCTGTAGAGATAGTTAGAATTCTCAGATGGATAATCCTGAGAGAGATCAACTATACAGATTATGCAGTGAAAAGTGTGGACACTATATTATGCATCTTCGGCAAGTTAAATTTTAGGTTGACCCTTTAGCTTCTAATATCACTTCCTTACAGGTAACTCTGACTTCTCTTTACAGACATGAACTTCATTCCATATTGGGCTTGCAAAAACAGACGACCACTTTCATCATCTGCTGAAATGAAATAGTCTATTTCCTAGATGAGGTAAAAAATAATTTTATTATTCATATATATATATATATATATATATATATATATATATATATATATATATATATGTGTGTGTGTGTGTGTGTGTGTAAGCAAATATATGGATATAGATCTGATAGTATGAAGAAAAATATGTGGAAAGACAAAAATCTGAATATGCAAATATGCTGTTTTAATGTTGTTTCAATGTCGACGTCAGACGTTTCGGTCTAGTAGACCTTCTTCAGGATATAGTTATTAAAACATAACTAAC